AGGTTAGGACGGCGGACGTGCAAGCGACAGCGAAACCGAGTGGTGGGAGAGGGAGGTTGGTAAGGAAGAGCCCTTTAACAGTTGACAAGTAGATAAAGAAGAGGTGATAGGAAAAAGAGGCAGAACTCCAGGGCCAGGAAAAGTCTCAGGGAGTGAAGTGAAAAAAGCGGGGTTGGAGAAATACATGGTAATGAGGAAAAAGAAAAAACGGGAGGAGAGAGAAGAGATGGACGCGACGAGAGAGATGCTTGAAGGGAACAACGAAGAAGAAAAGAGCAGAGAGTAACCGTCAGAGGAGGAGGACGAACTTGGAGAGGGAAAAGAAAGCAGACTGCTATTAGAAATGATGTGAGAAATGAGAATAGAAATGAGGGAAATGAGGGAACAGGGCACAGAAGAGAAAAGGAAGTGGAAGTGATAAAGAGTGGTAACCGTAGAGAATAAGGTAGAAGACTTGATCAAGAGGGCGAGAGTAAGGGGAGAAGAAAGCTCTCTAGAAGAAGAAATGGTAGAAAATAAGTTGAAAGAGATAAGGCAAAAGCTCGAGAAGTTGGAATCAAAGTAGCTAGAAGAGGTAAACGTGGAAAAAATGAATAGACTAGTTAAATTACTGGAAACACAGGAAAGGAGCGAAAGGCGGAAAAACATAGTTATAAGAGGCCTGGAAACAGGCGAACAAAGAATAAAGGAAGAAGTGGAAGCATTCTTAGAGAGAGAACTAAAAGTAGACGAAAAGTTGGAATGGGCAAAAAATGTATAGAGGGGGAGGTAAGGTGGTCATATTAGCACGTGTGAAGGACGAGAATAAAGAAGAGGAAATAATGAAGAAAAAAGCAGGCTTGAAGTGAGGAAGCAGCAAAGCAGAAGAAAAAGAATGTGGCAGGGTTCCTAATGAAAGACAAGAAGTTCTGGGAGTATTTACAAGACTTTCAATTTGTGGGCTTAACAGAAACGTGGATTGAAGAAGAGACATGGAACAAACTGAAAGATAGATTGCAAAAAGGATACTTGTGGAAGTGCCAACCAGCAATAAGAGAGAAGACAAGGGGCAAGGCGAAAGGCGGAATAGTCACAGGAGTGAGGAAGAAATGGGCCACGAAGAAGGTAGACCTGGAAAAGCCAGGCTTAGTTACTGAGGAAAGTAAGATATGGGAAGTTTGGACTGTATACTGCGGAGAAGGGATAGGCAAATGGGAGCAGACGGCAAAATCAGTAATGAAGGAAGAAGAGGAAAGCGAGCGGATTATCGACGGGAACTGGAATGCAAGAACAGGAAGAAAGGGCGGTACACCCATGGAAGAGGAAGAAAAAGAGACGATGAGAAACTCCAAGTACGGTACAGTCAACGCAGAGGGAGAAAGAATGCTGAGGATAGTAGTGGAGAGGGGTTGGCACATCCTAAACGGGCAGACAGAAGGAGACGAACGCGGGGAATTCACGTGGGTTGCAGGAAAAGGGGAGTTGGTAATAGACTATGTAGTCGCGAACTCGATGGCGAAACAAAAGATTAGGAGGTTTAAGGTAGGGGAAAGGGTAGAATCGGGCCATTTGCCACTAGAGATTGAACTGGAAGGAGCGCCAGGTATGAGGGAACAGAGGGAGGATTTCACGATTAAAAAATTAACTCCATGTAACGAGAAGGCGGTAAACAGATATAAGAAAGCCGTGGAGGGGGTGGAACTGTATGGTACAGAGGTGGAGGAGAGCTGGCAGGAATTAAAAGAGAAGGTGAGGAGCCGGATGGTTAAGAAAGAAATATTAATAAAAGATAGGAAGATAGGGTGGGCCGGCTGGTGGGACAGGGAGTGTAAAAAGTCAAAAAAGAAAGGTAAAGAAAGCATATAGGGAGCGGAAGGTGGGAAGGAAGCCAAAGGAACAGTATAGACAGGAGAGGAAAAAGATGAGGAAATTAGCAGACAAGAAGAGGGAAGAGATGAAAGAGAAAATCTGGGAAGAGGTAAAGAAGTCGAAGACAGTCAGATATATGGAAATTCATCAACAAACAAAGGAAAAAAAGAAGGGAAACGGGATCTGAAATAACGAAAGGAACATGGTTAAACCATTTCATCGTGGAACTGAAAGGGCGTAGACAGGAAACGATAGGGAGAGAAAGAGAAGAGTGCGAGATAGAAAAAGAAGAACAGGAAATCACTGACGAGGAAATTGAGAAGCAATTGAGAGAGCCTGAAGGAAAGGAAAGCGGCAGGCATAGACGAGATCCAAGCAGAAGCATGGCTCTATAGTGGAGGTAACTTCAAAAAGAAGCTATTCGAGCTAATAAAGGACATCTGGAAAGGGAAAGGTTTCCAAGATGAGTAGAGGAAAGGAGTAATTTTGCCACTATGCAAGAAAGGTGACCCAAGCGTAGCGAGCAAATCACGCTGCTGTGCACAGCATATAAGTTGTACGCAGCGGTGTTAAAGAATCAGGACGGACGTAAAAGCGAAAGGGATAATAGATGACACGCAGGTGGGTTTCAGAAAAGAGAGGAGCACGAGACAATATATACGTCTTACAGCATGTAGTAGAAAGGGAGACCAAGAGGAAAAGAGGAAAGGTTTTCGCCTTAATAATGAGGAAAAGAGGAGTAAGAGAAGGATTAGTAGAAAGAGTAATGGAAATATATACCAAGAAGTTAAGAATGTGGTAAAAGTAGATGGGGAAACAACGGCAGAATTTTGGACCGAGAAAGGAGTTAGACAGGGTTGCTGCCTGTGCCCCACGTTGTTTTCACTATACATCGCAGAACTGAAAGAGACGCTGCTGAGAACAGTAGGAACGGGAATGAGAGTGAGAGTGGGAAAAGGAGGTTTTGCTCATTGGCCTACGCATACGACCTGGTCTTGGTCGCAAAGACCGAAGAAGACTGCGAATTGTTAACGAGGAAACTAGAAGCGTACCTGAATGAGAAAGAACTGAGCCTAAATGTGAAGAAATCTAAGCTGATGATTTTTGGGAAGGGAAGAGGGAAAAGGAAGAGAATGACAATGAAATGGATAGGAAAGGTAGTGAAAACAGTAAAGGAATTTACCTACCTTGGAGTAAGATTTCATAGGGATGAGGAGTGGCTAGCACACGTAAGAGAACAGGTAAAAAGGACGGTTTTGGTAATGAAGGAGGTATGGGGGATAGGAGAAAGGATACTGAAAGACAATTTTAGCACGAGAATGTTTATGTTCAACTCTCTGGTGGCAAGTGGTCTGATGTTTGGGGTGGAGGTGTTTGGTTGGAAGGAGTGGGAATGTTTAGAAAATGTACAAGAAAGGTACATTAGATGGTATCTGAGACTACATAAATGTACACCAGGGTACATGGTACTAGATGAAACCACGGTAGGCAAACTAAGGATAAGGACAGGGCAGAAAACGATGAAGTATGACCAGAAAATCATAAATTCGAACGACCAAAGACTGGTTAAGGAATGCTGGAAAGAAAAGATAGCAAATAAATTAGAAACAAAGATCTATTTCAATAAGTTAGAGTACTTGAGGAGAAATGGTTATAGCCAGGAAAGTTTAGAGAACTTGTATATAGAGAATGAGGTAAGCGAAGCAGGAATTTATGAGAAGATGGCAGAGACAGCTAGGGAGTCACAAGCGCAAGAGCAATATGAGAAGTGCAAGACCTCAAGATACAACAGTAGGTTCAAACAAATAAGGTATGCTCTAAGATCGGAGTATTTAGTTAAGAAGGGGAGTAAAGGGAGTCAAAGTATGATAGCCAGAGCGAGATACGGGAATTTGGAAGAATCTAACTGATTTGATACTGGTTAAAGGAAGAAGATAGAATATGCAAGCTATGCGAGAGGGATTATGGAACACTAAAGCATTTATTAGACGAGTGCGAGGGAATGGAGAGGACAGGATACGGCTTATTGTTAGCGTAGGTGTTGGATGGCAGATGTAACGAGAAAGTGGTTAAATGGTTAAGAGAGGTAGAGAGACGAAGGGAAAGAAAAGAGAGAGAAAGCAGGTAGCAGGAGCGTGAATGGTATGCAGAGTGGAGGAATGTGTGTGATCCTAAACTTGTAAGCCAAGTCCATTTCTGGGCCAAAGGGCCGAAATAAACAATTATATATATCAATTAATAATTATTCGCGAAGTGCGATAAAAGACATCGACACCATGTGATTAATAGAAAAGTAATTCTAAGTAAAACATGTTTATATTATTTAATGATTATCTAATTATAATTGCAAGTTACAATTATTTCTATTTTACTGCCATTATAGTATTTTATTTATTTTTAAATTATTATATCACATATAATAAAAATGTAAATGATACCTGAATAATAAGTGTACGTGAAAATAAAAATATTATTCCTTCCCAAAGACTTAATTGAATAAAATTTTGGCAAATAGCGTTATAGTATAGTTCCAAAAAACACAGTTTTGATCATTTTCAAGTATATGTACATTTAATTATAACACAATTCCGTATTTTTATGTTTTATACCACATAAAATTATATTTAATTTTTATGTTTTATACCACATAATAATATCTCAATATTGAATAACTGGAGAATAATTGTGGATATGCGTAATATGGAAGAAAATTACACGAAGCAATATGTATAGTATTTCTATCAAATTCTATGTTAATAAAGCTTTATGAAAAATTAATTAATTCTTTTTTAGGTTAATTTCTGTTGAATTAATTTTAACTTCCCAACCAAATCTAATTTATAAATATAAGAAAGAAATATACGATAAACGACAAGACTTATTATATTTATTTTAAATCAAGTATAGATATGGTCGATAAATTATTAAAGTCGTTTTTTTCAAAAATAATAACTTATTTACTAAAACTTATTCTAACTGTACTAACTACATCTTTTCGAGATATTTTTCTTTAAAAAGATCATTGTTGGATATCATAGATAATAATAACCAATCCGTCGGTATACTCTATTCGTACTGAAAGTATTTAATGCTTAATACAAATATATCTATCGAATGAAGAAACTTTGTATAATAATGTAACGCATTACCGTTTATATTTTGGTAGTCAATGTAAATCCATTCTGCATTAGTATCAGATTTTTACTCAGAATTACTTAGCTAACAAATAAGCAAATTAAAAAATAAGGATAAACTGTACTTACAGCATCGCCGGTATAATCAGACACCATAACGAAGAGTTCCATTGGAAAGCCTTCTTTGCTTCCTTTTGGTACGAGCAGATGTTGCGGCCAACCGCAACCGCAAAAGTCATACCGTTGTAGACTTTCGCCTCCTGTCGGTCTTTCATCTAAACTACGGAACGTTCTTTCGAATGGTATAGTCACCGAAGATTCTGTCGATTTACGTTCAATTACATTTTTCCCTGGAGAAACTGTAATCAAATATACGATTATGAATTATGCAATTGTAATCAGGCGGATAATAAATAAATATTGATTAATAGGTGACACCGTTTTATGAATATGAATTACTAGTTAAATCTCCGAGTATGAATGATTATACTCTCCGAGTATTATTAGAAGACAAATCTTCAAACGTTTATCAATGAGAATAGGTATTACATGAAACAAATTCAGAAGCTCGACTAAATTCAAAAATATTTCAATTTCTATATACTACTGTGATATTAATTCTGTTATTGTTTATTCTAATCTCTTTTCCCGTTACACTAAATCTTTTATAATACAGTATACATCGTTCTAAGATTTAGTTGAGACAATATATACATATAATCTTATTGATAATCTTATTAATAATCATTTCGAAATTAATTTTGATATCGATAAGAAAAAAGTAGAAAGTCTTGTTATAAGAAATAGTCTATCGAATAAAGTTTTAAATGAATAAAAAATGTTGATATGTACGGTAATATGATTATAGAACAACGTACGAGTAACAACAAACTTGTCCATTTCGATCATCAAATTCTTCTGTTGTCTGTAAGTAAACGGTAACCCACGCTCGTCCTCGGCAGGACCAATGAAGATACGGACCGTGCCTTTTCGTGATGCATTGTTGCGATTATTAACGACAATCGTATATGAAAAATCAGCATGATTCAAGTGCGTGAATCTAACTAACACCGGGCCACGTGGAGTGAAATCGAGTCCACGTGACATATCTACGTCAGCCTTGGACCAAAAGGTGTGTAGTATATTTTGTTGGTTATTAGTTGTTAGTCTGATATCCGCTATTTCGATGCCTGGAAAGCCTAACTGTAACCGATAAAAGAGAAATTTCATGCAACAATTGCAAGCAGTAAGTAGTTCCGCTATCAGTTTAATTCCTATTCGAAAAAGAGAAACTATCGGTTCTTACAGAATGAAATTATCGATTAATCGATATAGAGTTCTTTTCATTATAATACAATGTCCCGTGTTATTTATATTTCATTTAGTTTTATATTTGTTGAGAATTAACTGGAACAATCGGCTACATTTATTGTCACCTGAAAGAATTAAATATATCCTGAAGGGAGTGGTTTAACTGGAACAATCGGCTACATTTATTGTCACCTGAAAGAATTAAATATATCCTGAAGGGAGTTCAGGGCTTGCTAGGCGTAGGGAACCGCGTGTCTCCTGAACCCTCACTTGTTTTCGAGTCATCGTCGTCGTCGCAGTCTTTGTTTCACATCTGATCTGTACGTTTGTAAAATAAAAAGTGTGTTCGTCCGATTTCAAGAGTGTTTATATTTCGCCACGTACCAACAATATTTAAATTACAAACTTTCAAATATTGTTCGTGTACCTACTTGATTTATGGACTTTACTTATGTTTCATAACTTTTACGTTAGCTTTGTAATTATAACTTTTAAGTTCTATCACATAGAAATTGGTATGTGTATAATATGAATAGTTTTGTTAAACAGAACAGCATGGTATCTAATTTATTTATCTATCTATCTTAAGTTTTATAACATGACCACCCATCTGAAATGATATTAAAATGGCCTGTTATACTTATCATTTTCTTATAATAAAAAGTTAAGTAACATTCGAATTATTGAATTAAAAATAAACGAGTTTTGTGAATATGTATATAAATTCGAATATGAACACGTGTTTAGCCATGTCATGTTTATGGAATTTAACTTCGAGATATCAATGATTGACATAACATATTACTTGAAATACTATCGATTTGAATTACAAGTACGTATATTCAATTTTCAGATTATTGTTTATCGCGTTAAAAATTGGATTGCTTCCACTGATCGTTTCTGTTGTGACCTAGTATTTTTATTTATAATATTGGTACTGTATTAATTCAATGTTAAAACGTATTACGCCTCATGCCACGTGTTTTCATTTTCGGGATATTGCAGTTTAAAGCTCCACAATAAAATTCAACAATAAAGCGCATCATTTTCTTGAAGATATAAAATTCATTCTTATTTCTTAGGACAAATACGTAAATCATATATTTTTCAACCCGATTAACTTTAAAATCTTTAATTTAAATTAATTCTAAAATTTTCTGAAATTTTAATATCTAACGTTTTTTCTTACAATCATGCATATATTCAAAGATATCTAGTGTAAATATATTTATTTATGAGGAGTCATTAACTTTTTTCTTTTCATATTTTTGTCTGCATCTTGTATACAACCTATATAATAAAATAAATTTGAAAACTTTTAATTATCTAACCTGCTGTTCCGTGTACTGTGGCAACGTATTTTTATGTTCCTGGAACACATCGTCAACAAAAGCATGCCATCTATAAAATATTGGATCCCTCATATCAGTCGCTGTATCTCCCATGATACCAAAACTTTCCTAAAAATAAAGAAATAATGTAAAATAATGATTATTTAATTATTTGATTTGAACATTTATGACTTCTGTACAAATCGTTTTAATAAATATAAATAACCGAGTGTATAACTACCGAACAAGTATCAATTATTTTGCTTTTCACCTGTTAATTTTCGTTTAACTATCTGATTTCATCATTCACTCACTCACTCAGAAGAGTGTGATCGAAGGGTAAAGATCAACTATTAAAAAAGTCAATTTATTTTATAAGCGTAAATCAAGAGTAAACATTTCTTTGAAATGTTTGTTGGTAAGCATTGGATCGTATTCTTGATCATTTTCTGTTATTCTTGTATTTAATGCTGCTTCATATTTCTTCGCTTGTGTATAAATTAAGATTAATATATAAATATTTAAAAACTGAATCTCACACTATTTTTATGTACTTTCATTTCTAAGACAGTAATTTTATAATTTTATAATATACTTGTGTGCTTGTGTATGCGCGCGTGTACGTAGTGGATTAATTTTATGTAACTACAATATTTTTATTATCATTTGATAGCCATACGATTTGCATTATGATAGTTATTGGCAGAAAGATAAAAAATTAACATTTTATATAATTAATTTTTCAATGTTAATGATTTATAATATTAATATTACATTTGCAGAATATTTTTTGACATGTTACAATTCAGGATTAAAACCATTTTTCAACTCCAGTAATGTACAACATCTGTTATAAAATGCTGAAAGCTATAGAAACCAATCTTTTTGCTGCAAATAACCTCCAGTTGTTATTTCATATATATCTCATATATATAAGTTAGTTATTAACTCCTCTGTCGTTAACGCTAAATCTACCATATGAGCCTATATACCACGACAAAACGTATACATGAAAAATTTACCCTCATCGATTTCTTTTTTCAAATATACGACACTTGTTGATAATTTCGCAAAAATGAAGTATACCAAGTTTTAAAAGTCCATCTCAAATGGTTTTCGAAATACTTGATGTTAAATTTTTGGAAACTTAAATAAAAACGATCAACGCTATCAATATCGTTTGAACTTTTAAAGATAATGCTTACGTTTTTTGTCGAACATTGACGTAAATTTTATTTTTCTTTCTTTCTTTAGTATACTTAAAATCTCTATATCTTTTTGAAAAATGAATCTTTTAGCTTCATTTTAACCGTGCTAATATTCTAGGACCCAAATGATATTTTCATCAAGCTCGTTCAGAAATATTCGATATAAACTTCTAAAACTTGGTATACTTATTTTTATGATATTTATTTTCATATAGACGTTCTTAGACTTTAAATGAAACCATAAAGGATTCCGCATTCAAGTTGTTACTCCGTTGTTTTGAAATTCATATACATATAGTCTGTTTTATCTAGCACGATCATTTGATTAATTTAAAAATTTATATCTTTTTGCAACAATCCAGATAACATGGAATAAGGGCAATAAAACAATTCAAATCTGTTTCAACTATGAAAGTTAAAAAATTGTAAAAAAGTTATATTGACAATATGCGATAGATAAGAATGTAATATATGTACCTACTTTCACTTTCCAAGTATAAAAACGTTTTTATTTTCTACTTTCGTTGAAGAATAAAATATATACTTTCTTTTGTTGTTATTTGAAAGTTATTTTATTTATTGCTCGCATTAAATTGCTTATTGTCTGTATTGAATTATAAAAAGTATAATTTTTAATTATGAACTGGTTCTGTAGAAACAGTTTGATATACATGTATAAAATGTCGGTAAATATAGCGTTAAAAATAATATACATGACTGTACAAACGACTAATTCTAAAGTAAAATCGAATAGGACAAGCAATTATGTACAGGATGCTTCATTATCTCTCCACTAAACAACGATAACTTAATCTAGAGGCCAAAGAAGAAGAAAACGTAACATAAATACGAATAATATAATATACGAATAAATGCTTTGTTATAGACTTAGGAAGAAATATTATATGCATTGAATAGCTAGCAATTTTTCTAAAGATATTCATTATAGCACGCAGAGGGTTAATTTTGTTCATATGATCTGCGTAGTTACATATTTCCTTCATACGATGAACTTGTGCAAAGAATTAAAAACACGGTAAAATACTGAGAAATTGCTTACAATAGAGTAGTAAATTCAATTATTTATCGATGCGAAGATTGTACTCAAGCAAAGGGACATTATTTGGAAATGAGATTTTAAAGATAGTAACTGTGTAATCATTTCTTACGATACCAACAATTTAGGGCATGGAATAGCTCAGAATTTTCTTCTGATGACGACAAATATATACTCTGAGGGAAAATACGTTACTTATTCTATTCGTATAATATTTGTTTCTAACTCTACAACAAAGCATTTATTCGCAAATTTTGTATAGCATTTCTCTTTCCTTTTGACCTCTAGATTAAGTTCTCTCATTTTAACGGAAATATCGCGATTCAGATTCGTATATATGAATCTTTTCCACTGTTCTTGCACCTTTTGTCCATTACTAACATAAGATATTAAGAGTGTATTAGAGTAATCCGAAATAGTATGAATATTAATTAAGTTGTATAAGAAATATTCGAAACCTTTGGTATTTTATTATTGGTATTCTATTCAATTTTTTAGAATGATTGTTCTTTCTTATACGCTATATTTATTTTACGAGCAACTTTTAGTATTTACTATTCAATATTTTATACATACTTCGAAATATTAATATCGATCAACTTAATATTTAGTATTTAACGTGTTATTATCGTCGTATGTATGCTTACCAAATAACGATGATCTGGATCATGAACGTAAGCAATAGCGACGTGTCCGTAATTATGGAGATCACCATACATGTTCCGGTTGGGAGTCAAAATACTGGCCTCAAACATGTCTCCAAGCACGTCGATTCCGTCTTTTTCGGTCAACTGAATTCTTTGGCCGTTTGAATGAACTACAAATCCCGTATGAATTGCTTCGTAAATGCGGTCACGCCATCTTTCCAAATCTTGAATGTCAAAGACCAATTCGTCTGTTGGTCGGTTGAGATCCTTAAGCACAGCACCTTTGTGTCGAGCTGGCCACGTACGACTGGCAACTAGGGAATCTAATTTTGGGAAATAAGCTTCTGGAATCGGTTCCCTCCAATTGATGAATCGCTTCACTCGATCAAGTCGGTTACATAGGCGTTCGCAATTATATCTGGAAATTAGATTACGGTATTTTATGATTATTTTATACGTATATACATTATATATTATATATAATTAATTATTTAATGTTCCATATATTATCGCTTTATTTTTATATAAAATTTATATAAGAAGTACAGCTAAAATGTTAAGCACAATTCTAAAGTTACGTGCTACTTTTAAACCTTAGGTTTGAGAAATGAGATAAATACATTTTTTAATCCATCCGCATTGTATTAATAAGTTTCTCCTTAATATACATTTCCTGCGGGAGAATTAATGTTTCAAAACATAACGTAAATTGCTAATAAGTTTCGAAAATGAAAATACCAAGCATGTTGTTGCTAATATTTTCAGTATCGATAATTGATTTGAACTTAACACGAATTTTAGCAAAAATTATAGATATCGTATGTTAATCAGTCTCAATATCTAACCATACATAATATTATATATTAATATCCTTTGTGAATCTTTTTATTATGCTAGAAAGAGATTATAATTATTGTCAACCTCTCAGTTGAATCGAAAGCCCGGAAATTAGTAACGTTGTTTATCAAAGTTTCGCTTTTGTTTTTAGAATTTTAGAATTTCTCGCCTTAAACGCGAATTCGGAATAAACTCACCACCCTCGCTTCTTGAAAAATTCGAATTTCTGCAAAAGCGCCAAATTATTTGTTGCGACAACGACACCGAAAGTTAATCGTACCTCGCCGTCCTTCCAGCGGATTAGGCGGTATAATTGACGATAAACTCGACAACGGATAGAACGCGACGAGACAAGAGGATCTTAAATTTACGAGAACGCGAACACAACTATTCCAAGCGCAACTGAATATAACGCAACTCCATACTAATAGAATTTGCTAGACAATTGTACTGCGTGTAATAAAGTGTACAAAGCTCGGAAAAATGTTTCTTATCGCACAACCAAGGTGCTCGATATAACGTGGTGCATACTGAGGGGAGGCAACAGCCATCACATTACTGCCTTCGAATACATTATTTGAAAAAATAAGCAAAGATTATACGATGAAAACTATGAATTTTAGAATGTTTGAAAAAGCTTTAAAAAGTACAGATATACTGAATCGATATATATATATATTTGCATTTTCATATAATATTGGGGCTATTATGAACCAATGGCATGTACTAATGACATGTATAGTATAATAAAATAAAATGTATGAACGTGTAACTCCTAAGTTTTATGGCGTTATAAAGATTCAACAGATTAATCGTGATAGAAGTAAATTGACTTTTTGCCACAAGTGTATCTGAAACTTTCTAAGAGACGAATGTTGCGTTTAAAAGAATTTGATCATTTACGAGTTAAACTTACATACATTTCTAATGTGCTTAGCTTTTACCTAGCCATGATCTGTTCATGCATGTAGTAGAAGAGCTCGCCTCGTCGATCTTTCTTAACAATTTCAATGCTACCTTCGAACGGATATACCAAATGCCAGTGCCAATGATGAAGATTGATACCAATATCTTCTCTCCAATAAGCGACACGATGTTCCTCGTCGAGGTCTGATGCAGTATAGTCTCTTGGGATTTCGATTGGTATCTGCGTATTAGAAAAATAGTTAATCATATTCGTGCTTAACGTGTCAGCAAAATCTTTGTGATAACTTTTTTAACATAACGGTGTAATTCTTTTATGATTGCTTTTTATACGTATAGTTTTGAAAAGATAGAAAAACAATATGAAATTTTTAATTGATCGATGAAACATTATGCGGTGTACGCGTATCTGATTTGGAATGATTTTATAGATGTTAAGTGTACCTTAGAGAAACAACGTATCGAGCTACTTGTATTCGGATACCACTAGTTTCATCATATAATATTTTAGAGCTTACAAGAGTTAGCATATGAAAGATGCAGAAAACACGAAAGGATAAGTTTAGTTATATTTCTTTCGTCTAAAATACCAATAAAATTGAATTAAAAATACGCGAAGGGTAATTTAAATTTCCATTTAAATAATGGAAATGTCAATAATAAAGATTTCAGTTATCATATGTATATAGATTTATGATATTTTTTGTAGGTTATATAATAGTATATGGTTTATAATATTCGCTAAAATTATTCTAACTATCAAATATAATAATTTTTTAAATCTGCAAGTTACAAAATGTATTTACGTACTCTGGAACCTGCAGGTACGACATTAGCCTCTTCCCTAACTCTAGAAAATATTCCGCCATCCACGTATCTGTCCGGAAAAACTTCTGTCAGTGGTGGTATTTCCAAATTTTTTGTATCAGGACGATGAAGTATCGCCACTGATAGTGCGTAAATAAACATAGTTGAATTGACCCGGTCACGACAGTAAACCGCGACAGACAAAAAGTCCTCGTATGTTCGCATACCTGTAATAGAAATATAAAATAGAAAGCAACAACGGTGTGTAATTAAACATTAACTCTAACCCTACTACGACCTGAACTATTTGTTTAAAAATTTTGTAATTATTATAACATTATCCCTTTCGTGACATCCTTTTCTCGTGATATTTTATGTACATATAATCAATGTTTCGATATCCTAGATTTAGTATTAATTGTAAGTTAGGTGCATATATAGCAATGTTTCTCAACTTTTTTTTTGTCTAGGCGGTTTTATAAATATTGTTCATTTGCGATAGTATTTCCATAAATTTTACGTAATTTTTTGAAATTCGATGAAAATATTCAACGTACCGCCATACGGTGTGTTAAATGCACTGAAAATTCGCATGAAATTAACTTAAAATTCGCTCCATTTTCAAACTATTATAACTCTGTTAATCTTCATCCAAATGTAGAAGGAAAAGCATTTGAAAGTTTAAATTTCTAATTTTCTGATGCTGTAACGATATTCATAGATAGTAGCGTGCAGAGTAAAATTCTCCCTTAAATATAAATATAAAAAAGTATAATTATTTGCTCTTATGGTAAGCCAAGCCTTATCGGAAAATGATGTTTTAACTATTAAATTAACTATTAAAAAAGTTTGCATTTTCTACATCTTTTAAGCACATAATTAATGATTTTTAGTTTAAATGAAGTTGACTGTATTTTAAGACTGTCCGAAATTAAAAATTGCACATAATTAATTATAGCTTATATTGAAGAAATTAAATAATAAAATAAATATTGACAGTTTAAATTGAAGTACAAGTGATTATCGTATAATTCTAAACACATACAATGAGAATCCATTTAATTCTTGTCACTATCCGTGATCCCATCGAATATCTGTTCATAAAGATTTCTATTTAGTAAAAGTTACTTTACGACTTTAGTTGCTGAGTCAACGAGTGCAAAGTGGTATCGCGTATTATTTGAAAGCTTACGCGTCAAAGGTTATAACAGTGGTAGCCGAGAGCAAATTCTTTACGTTTTGAAATATTAACAAAAATCTATTGCTACTACGACATTGCATTAAGCCTATACGTAGTTCAGTTCTTTTCGATTATTGCAAAGTCCTAATCAATATTCCAAATTTGAATCAAATTATACAAGGTGTTCCGTAGCATGCACGAAGTACTGCAGAATAGATTCGAGACATAAAAGTAAGAAAAATAGTTCATATAAATATATGCTCCGATTATATGATAGGAGCTTGGGTACGAGTTATAACGTATTTTCTACTGCAATAATCCCTTTCGTGCATAAAATACGAAAAATATAAATATTAGTTCAATGTCATTACGAGATCAAAATTTGTAAATAGTATTCGATTATGTATACGAAAAATAGCTTTGCGATAAATTAGAAGTACAAGTTATGTATAATACATATCAGACATTTCAGCATTTGAATAGCTCATTTTGAATTTTTACACAATTCGACGACTACGCACGATACAATACAATAATTCTCCATAAAGATATCTTTTTATTACACAGTGGAATACAATATTTATATCGTACGCATCGTATACGAAGAAATGATTATTAGAACACAAAATACTCTATAACTTCTTTATCCGAACTTTTTTTCTCATTTTTATATCTTGAGTCTATTCCTTCTGTGCTTTCCACATGCAACGGCTTGTATGTACTTGTATATACAAATTAAGTATAATATCTGAATATTTCTTCAAATTAAAAATGGTTACCTGTATACAATGTCAATTGATAGCGTATTGCATATATTATAATTGCTGTGCAAATACAAGAAAAAAATTGATTAATTCGATAGATACCAAGAAGTAAAAAATCTGCTGAGTTATTGCCTGAACATTACAAGACAAACCAGAGAAAAATACTTTTGTAATTTACCAAGGTATTTAGACACATTGAAAGTTTAAACGATTAAACTGAGATAATGAGTTTAGCACAGTTTTATGATTATTCTTATGCAAAAAATTGGACGATTTAATGGGTAGAAAAAAATACATATTTGATTTTAACTTAAATTTATGGTGTCTGAATATTTTTGCGACGACAAATTTTGACAGAGTTTGACATTATGACAATTTAATTCTAATATAATATTTTTAATATTTTCTTTAATATTTTAGATATTTGACTATATTAGAAAATAAATAATATGATAATAAAATTATAAACATTAAGAAACAGCAATTATTTATCGAATAACCTAGAGTCCAAATATTAAAAAAGGTCGCTGCATATTTAAACCTATTGATTCGATATTGTAAATATAAAAAATCGTATTAACATTAGTTTCATATAGAAATTTGTAATCTACGTATCGCGTAAGGAACAGAGATATCTCTGAACCTGCAGTTACGCTAATAAATTTCGTTTTCTTGAAATTTCGTAAAAATCAATCCGTTAAAAATAATGTACAAATCCACTTTCCAATTGAATCGACAAGTATAAAATTAATTTCATAATAGATATGTCTTAATCCACGCTATTTATAGATAGGTAGATTAGACTTGTAATTCTACTTCGACGATGCTTTAGAAAACAGCCATTGACAATGGTAATAAAATATTCAATCCTTTAGAACTGAGAAAAGGAATGAAAGAAGTGAAGTGATATAAAATCAGAGAAATAAGGAAAAAATCATACCCATGAAGATGTCAATTAATCGTGTGGACATTCGTCGATGCGCTGGAATAAATAGGGAGAAAGCCTGATTACGCCCAAGTTGCAATGGAATACTAATATCCGGAAGAGTGATTTGCTTCACTGGAAGCTTCGATTCCGTATCATCGTCGAAGCGATTAAATAGTTGAGGTGCCATATTTTGATACCTCTCAGGCTGAACAGATAATAAAAATATTTGAAATCATTAAACTCGAAGGAAAATCTTTTATATTTTAAATAAACTTTATATTTTAAATACGCTTTTATATTTTAAATAAATTTAAAAATAAAATGTTATTTAAGTACACAATAGTATAAATATTATTTGTATCCCATTAATATACAACGAGTGAATGCGTATGACAACCGAGTGCGATAGACGATTAAAAAAGATAGTTTATAAGGGTGGACGACATCGGAGGTTGCGGAAAAAGAGGCGTGATTGAGAAATAGAGCCTGAGTGCGAAAAAGGGACAGAGTGAATGGTATAAATAAGGGTGCAAGAGCAAGAGAAGATCAGAAAGTCAGTCATGGAGTTATTGAGAGATATCCGAGAGTTATTAGCTAGTTTTAGTTTAAAATAAATCATCTTTATATTTACGTCACCGCTTATTCTGTTGCCTACCCAACATTCCTACATACATATATGTAGGGTTACGAGCAGCGAAGGACTCTATCTGGGGAATAATAAGCAGCGACATCGGCTTCGACTTATTGTTAGGCGTTTAGGACGACGCCTGGAGTGCGTTCGAATGGATGAGATATTTATGACTGGGTCGAGTGATTGAAAGAGAAAGCCTGTGTATGAAAAGAGAGAGTTTTGATTTTAAGTAAGGGTGTAAGGGTACGGGCGAGGCAGATTGTGTGTAGTCGAAACGTACTGAATAGAGGATCGTGTTTTTGAGAGTTAGAATTGAAAGGAACTTAGTGTAATATGTTAATTAAATAAACCTGTTTTGTTATTAAAAAGAAGTTGTTTATCAGACGCGCATATTTCGGTCTGCATAGGATTAATCTAGCTAGAAATCCTACATATATATAAAGTATATAATGTATTAATTATTTCATATAAATATCTATGTTTCAAATAATCTTTATATTCACGATATTTGTTTACTATAACTAATATAAGTAATATTTTTATATTCATCAAAAAACACGCGACCTAAACTTACACAAACTAATATCAGATTTATTATCGTAAAAGGAATACGTATAAAAGCATTTTGTTTTACTTCATTGTGATTTCTTAACCTATAATATTTATTACTAATCGTTATCAATTCGTCATAAGGCAAAACAAACGAATTATTAAATAAGAAAGCGTTATAAACATTTAACTTTCATATGTAACAAATATTAGACATACGAACATATAAATACATATATACATATTCCTATATCTATATACGTTCATAACTATATAATATTAAGTATAAAGTCAATATGTAAAAGTATTATAAAATAGGAAAAGTAGCGGTATTAGTTGGTTAGTTTGGGCGTTCCGCGGCAAATAAATAAATAGATATATCATTAATCCAAATAATATAATTAAATGAATACTTACCAGATAATTAGGTGGAATGTCAAAAGCGACTTTCTTATTTCCCTTAGGGATGTAAACCGGCTCAGAAGGTCGGTCAAACAGGTACAAAATGCTTGACTTATCACTCGCCATTTTTATTTGTAATTCTAAAATTTAATAATAGAGGAAAGGAACAAATAAATATGATCAATGACGAGTTTCCAAGGAATGAACGTTCTCTATTGACTCGTTAAATAGCAAGTACTCTACGAAACACGGTACTTCAATTATGATTTACAGTTAAATTGAAAATTGACGAAGCGAAGGATAGTATTTTAAACCAAACCGTTGATGTCGTTGTGCTAAAGACCAAGAGACAACAATCTTAACTTTATATATAAACTCGACAGGATATGATTATTTCTATAAAACCACAGAATCCGCTCGGAAGATCTAAAATAAGAAGTAAATAAGATTAATACGATGCCACCCGGAATTATATTTCATGCATCGTCTTTCCTGTTTACAAAGAAAATGTATTGCGATTAATTATCGATAACTAGATTAAAAATACGTATGTTCGATTTCATACAATGTAAATGTTACATTACCTTACGATTTATTCTCGAATAAATGTGCCAGTCGAAACTATTCAATTTTATTGCAATACTATTCATACACATTTCCGTACCTGGGAATCCAATAAGGATATAATAGTTTAATAGTATACTTGAATTGTACGTAAAATAGAAATAATTTGTCACAAACATATGTTTATGTCGTACAGTTTATAAAATATACAATATAGCTTTAACATCTTTAAATTACAAAATTTACTTGTGATTCTAAGTTTTACAATGTTAGATTCAAGTTAAATACTATGAAATATTAAAAATCGTGTCAGACTTTAAACTATAATTTTTTGTTTTGAATAAAATTGCATCATGATTCGAGTTTGAAACCTTTAGTGGGAAAAATTTTCATTAATTTTTAGTTTTTCGAACAAAATCGTAATAAATAGAATGAGATAATAAGCGTATTACAAAAAAATGAAAATTAACGTTATTATATATTGATAAAATGCTTTAAATATTTATAAATGCTTAAGTATATTCGTAGTAGCGTTCACTAATAACGTAAATATTTTTCTTCGTATGTGAACAGAAAAACAAAACATTCGTGTTGCTGAACAATAGTTAACAAACGCATCACCCCCGGTCAATTTAAAATTACACTGTACCAAGTTATAGAATTCGTGTTAACTATAATTATAACGTTATGAAATAAAAAATACATGTTACTATTTATAAATGTAGCTGGACACACAAAGTTTTGTTGGAAACTAGTTTTTCTTGAATTATCAGAATGAAGTGCTTATTATGTTTGTCTTTACTGGGTTAAATAGCATTCCTCCTTTACCCGGATATACTTTAAATTCATAATACATCCATAATACATTTGATCATATTTTTCATTTCTTCTTGCCTGTCCGCCAATAGTATTATGTCATCCGCATACATTATCTTCCATACCACTCCTCTGTCCTGTTCTTTTTTTTAAGTTGTCCTCCAAATCCACCACATACACGTTGAACAGCGTTGGGCTCATAGGACACCTCTGCCTTAATCCATTTGTCCAGAACTCTCTCGAGGTGTCCTCACCTATTTTCGCTATATTTATTCCGTATATGTTTCCATTATCTCTTCCGTATTCCTATATTATTCCTATAGCTTATTCCTATATTTTCCATCCTTTCCTATTCCTATTCTTCTTTCTACTTTATCAAATGCCTCCTTCAAGTCTGCAAAACATGTAATTCAATACATATATCGCATCTGCTGCTCCTCTATCTTTTCTAAATCTAAACCGTCCTTTTTTTAATTTTCCCGCTATCTCTTCCTTTCATCTATCATTTAAAATTCCCTCGTATACTTTGTATGCTGTATCCATCAGTGTCGCCTCTCTGTAGTTTTTAACTTCTTTCTTTTCTCTCTTTTTATAAATCGGGCATGTTACCTTCATTTTCCATTCCTCCAATATATATCGTCTCTCCGTATTCATCATTTTCACCATTGCTTCTCCTATACTTACCAGCATATTCTCCCCTACCTCGTTTTCTAACTTGTCTCCTCCTGGAGCTCTACCTGTTCTTAAATGCTAGTTAAGAACTCTTTTCCCATCCCAGAGTTTTCCAGTATTTCGTCTTTTCAGACTTACTTTTGCTTCCTATTTAGTATCTTTTTGTTTTCCTTCTATTCCCTTCTTTACCGACCAACTCATTTAAGCCACTTCCTTTTTTCCCAGCCTAACCGCAAAATCCTCTTTCTTTCCTTCTTTCCTCTCTCCTGTCTTTATTTCGTTCTCTTTACCTTATTTCCTTACTCCTCTTTTCAGTTTTCTCCTTCCTTTCCCACCTTCTCGTTCTCTTTACTTTTCGTCTTTTCTTTACTTCTCTTTACTTTTCTTTCACTGTTTTATTAATTTTTCACTTCTCTTCGCAGTGATGCAATATACGCATTCTACGATATGTCGTAGAATGTCCATTTTAGTAATTTGATAGTACTTGGTGCACTTTGTTCATAACAGAATTGCTCACCTTTTTCTTCGGGTTAAATGAGAATACAAACTTCAGATTATAGAAACACAGTTAAATTCACCGAATGTCTTTTCTCATAGATTAAAATTTCGAAGCATGATTTTCTTTATAAAATTCTTTTATACTATCCCATACTTTTTTCTGTACTTTACATTAAGCAAAAATTATGCGATACTCAGCGATATTAATGCTCAATACTCGAATTGGAACGTAAATTGATGCACGTTATGTCTAAAAAACTTAAGGTGGCCTTCGTATCACGGTGAAAGGAGTTAATTATCATATTGTACGTCATTTCTGATATCTATGTGACGTTTGTTTAAAATATCTTTTTGTATAGAAAATCGCTTATAGGTAATTTATCATAATTTATGTTATTAAAGAATAATATATAGGAATATAGTAAATATTTAATTAACAATGTTAGCGGATTGCATGAAAATTATCGATGGAAAGATGAAATATCTTTCTTTCTCCTTACAATTTTAATACGACACTGGCTCTCTCAACGTCATTTCTCAATGAATTCTCACTTGTAACTCACCTATCCCACTACTATCTCGTTTGTTCCTTCTTCTACCATACATTACATACAAATAGGTATACCGTACCACACTTCATTCATTACGTTCTCTTCCTTATCCATTTTTCATACAACCTAAGGTCGCTCACACAAACGTTTCATGCATACTCGCTACACTCATCCTTTCATACAAACATCGCGCATTTTTACATCATGGTATATTAAAATCTATGATAACCAATACCACATATTTATAATAATTTTAGAAATTATTTAACTCTGATTTATTATTAAAAGAAAAATCCGACGAGTATTCTTATTATTCCGACATGATCCATCTATCTGTTTCACACGATGTGAACAAATTTTATTGATATTTTATAATTATTTGTCAATATCATAGTGCGAAAGGAAATTAAAAATACAATGTGAAATATATTATTATTTTTCTAAATTATCATAGCATAATAAAATCACGTAATAAAGAATAAATAATAAATACTGTATTGCATTAAACATATAACATTATAACAGATAGGAGATAGATATCATCAATTGAAGGTATGTTATGTCATTCTTCTTTGAAAACAATTAAAATCAAACAGTTGCGTAACTAAATATTTTAAATATGTGACAAATTGTACCACTTTCTGAAATTCTGATCACGCGTTGATACAAAAGTAAATTTTTCTTTAATTTAAATTTTATATAACTTACGTTTTATACCATGTATTTTTAACTATTAGTCAATATAAAGGATGACCCAAAATTCACGCAAAATTTAAATTTTGCTCCATTTGTGCGGTGAAGTGTTGCTAACGAAAGAAGAAAGTAACGTGATGGCTGGTAGTTTAGAGATATCAACAATGAAGACGCGTTATTTTTTCGTGTAGCGCTCCATATTTAATAACTGTTTTAATGAACTGGGTCACTCTGCATCTTGAATCTTGGAACACTCTATATTTTTTAGCAACACATGACTTCTTGTATCTCAAGTGATAAGGAATAGCGAGACAAACTCGATAATTTAATATTTTACTGGAAAATGTCACAACAAAATGGAAGTAAATATACCAGTGGATGAAATAACATCAATATGTAACATATAACGTTAATACATTTATATATCTCGCAGTGCAGCGTTTAACAAATAGGTCAATTAATAAGTTTATAATGATCTTTATGATTACAGTCATGTCTAGTTAAAAGTCGGCTCGTTGTTCCCTCCACTGTCTTTATAATTACCGCGACGAACTCGTCAGTCCACGAGTGAGCGAAACAGCAACCGAGACAACAATTTTTTTCGAAATATTATACAATATCATAAATATCATACAACAATCGAAGTTGCTTAGATTTCGAGCAAGCTTTGTGACTTTTGACTCGTGCTCTCATAGCCTGTCGCACTCGCCGCGGCAGACAACATAAGAAGACGTGTAAAGTAAAGGGTAAATATGCGGTTTAGCGGCTTTACCCTAAACGCGTCTTTTTTCCGGTTTTTTCACAAAAGGCTTTATTTGTGCCTCAATAAGAAATATAGATCGAGGGAGCTTGAAAAGGTAATGTGCTTTTACTAGTTTTTTGACAAGAAACATAAAACTGTTAAAAGCTACAGAATGCGTAGGTCGGTCTCTATGATTTTCGTCCTCTACATGTTCAAAAATCATAGGGATCGACTCACGCATTCTGCAGTTTTTAACAATTTTATGTTTTTTGTCAAAAAACTAATAACTTCTTCAAGCTCCCCCGATCTATATTTCCTATTGAGACACAAATAAAGCCTTTTGTAAAAAAAAAAAAAAGGAAAAAAAAGACGCGTTTAAGGCAAAACTTCTAAACTGCATATTTACCAAGTAAAGGACTTTGTGGGATGAAAAAACATAATGTAAAAACAAGTTACGTTTGAAACATTTTTGAAATAGCGATAAACATAAAATATAATTATATTTATAAATATCGTAGTATCGCACTTTCCTATCGTGTAAACGACGGAAAAGTAGACTGTAAAGGAGAGAGCAAAGGTACAAAGCCCAAGTCCACTGGGAAAAATCCTTGGCGATGCTTGAGGCCTTTTACATCACCATATTTGGACATGTTTGAGAGAAAGACCGAAAAGAGTGAGAGTTGGACACAGAGTTGAACAGAATATCGTGGTATAGAGTTGTAAGGAGTAAGAGTGGTACAGGGTTG